GCTGAATTGCACAAAACGCATGATCGCACCGGCTAGTCTGGTGCGCGTTGCCATTTATTATTCTTTAAATTTATCCCCCTCAAACGTACGCCAAATAGTAAGTTTTTAAATGGTAACACTTTTTCTTATATAAATTTATTTAATTTTATTTGTTTTTTTTATCAACATCACAACCGTCGTACTGACGAGGTCCAATTATGGTGCTGAATGTCTATGAGTCAAAAAATTTGAATAGAAATTTTTGTTCAAATTTCTATTAGAAATTTTTTTTATTCAAAAAAATTTCTGTTAAAATTTTCTGACGTAATTTTGTATATTTTTTGTGTATGTTATAATTAATATTTGCATTTTGGTATCTGTATTATCATTGTTTTTTGATTATGGGAAAAAGTAAAATCCGATGGGCAGGCCATGATACATACCTTGCCAAAAACTAATAAACTTTCCCCATTAGTGAGTGGTACTCATGAGGAAGAAGACCATCATTTGGGCGATTCTGAGGAGTTGGCGTAGAACAAACAGTTGGTACTAACTGGAGGCATGCAGATCGGGATCAAAGGGTCCGCAGAGCTGTGCTCGGCGTACTGGAGCATCCGAGTAATACCGGATAGCTAACTAAAATAGCCTTGGCGATCTTATTATTTTCTTGGTATCATTAATCCTGCGCATATTTGTAGGCGCCGTCGACAGCATGATGCTGTTTCCTCGATGCCGCTAGCAGGAGCTGCAGCAAAAGCAGGCCCATCACCACGCCTGTCATCGAGAACTGCTGTCGGTGGTACCACGGGTCATAGCAACGGTCGCGATCTGGTAATCGGTGAGCCGGTTCTTGTCTCGCACTTCTCGGCCAGTCCACGTACGATGCGCATGTTTCCGGATGGATTGTCCAGTATTTTATCATCGCAAGCTGTCACACAACAAATGATGAATCATTTTCGTCGTGGTGCTACCACAACTGCTTCTGCTCCCACCGATGATGATCATCATCGTACTCTTCCGGATGGCGGTATCATATTTTTTTGATTTTATTATAGTTTCATTTATTTTTTTTATTATGAATTTTGCTACACCGGCTTTACTGTTTTAAATAACTTATCGGGCGAAATTATTTTGTCCAATTTTTGCAATTTGTAGTTTTCTTGCTTTTGAATTTTTTATTTTTTGAAGTTTTTTGATAACTTTTTTACGAACTTTATTCGACTTTTATTTTTTCGAATTTTTTAGCTTTCTTTAGTACAAAGTTTAGGAAAAAAGTAAAGTTTTGGGGTTTTTTTCATAAAAACACGGATTCGCTGTGCATGAACGTCTGCACTTCTTCCAGCGTTTAACTGGAGGAAAATGCTATGCACACAAATCTTTGTCTTTCTTCACACTGAAATACGAGTAGAACTACCCTGGATTCTTGGATCTACAGCTGCTGAGACTAAACCTTGCTCTATTTCTAGAAATTGGAGGTGTCATTCCAGAGTAGTTTTCGTTCAGATTGATAATTTATGCAAGTGCTTGTATTTACAACATTTTTATTTTAGGAAGTTATTACTTAAAAATAAATTTTTACTATCGTCTTTTACATTGGAGGGACGATTAGTTGCTGTTTTCGCTGTCTTTTGACCTTTGTAAATAGTGTCCCGAATAAGTTTGTTTCTCCTCCGGTCACTCGTTAAGCCGTGCCACTGTCAAACATTTGCCTCTTATCAGTTCCAGCTCATCATTTCTTCGCTGTCTAACCAATTACCAGTCTCCTTTGGTCTTGTTACTGATAGGCTAAGGTGATAAGCAGCAACGACTGTGGGAAAATAATTTCCTAAGAATTCCCAACTGGGCTTATTTCAAGGAAAATCTGGCCATTTTTGTTTATCCCGTAGAATTTCTTTCTTTTTTTCACCTCTACTTTTAAACTTAATTCCTTGTCTTTGATGTATTTTAATGTACTTCGATAATTTTTGACCATAAACAATTATACATAGATGTGAGCAAGAAGTAGGTTGTGCTGTTTTGCAGTATCATTTGCGATGCTTCAACCCAGTGGCTTCGGACAGCAGGAACCACTGATGCCGGATTGCGGTATCGCTTCGTCTCGATACAGTGCTGCGAGCAGTTCCGCGACATCTGCATCACGTGCACGCGATTTCCGATCACGTTTTCTTGGTGCTAGTAATCGGCGTATGGGTATGGTACTACTTACGCCACCCGGCAACAACGACTCGTCCACATCATCTTCTTCGGCA